CCGCCCTGGGCATGGTATCTGCCCGGAGATGGTAGCCGCCCCAGAAATGGTGGCCACTACGTTGATGGTGGCCGGCCAAGGATGGTGGCTGCCTTGGAGGTGGTGGTCCCCCCGGAGACGGTGGCTGCGGGGCAGTGTGTGCGCCCCAGTGCACCCCAGGCGTGTTCTTGTGCTTTCGTCCTTTCACAACTACATGGCCTGGTAGATCTGGGGGATCACTACGTATCTTCTACATGACATCCTCTATTTGATCTGGGAGTGGGGTCACGGTTGTGTCCATGACAGTGGAGAAATGCAGTGACAATCACACAGAGATGGGCAGGTGTCAGGAAAAGGACAAGACCTTCGGGCACAAAGCAGAGCAGGGCTGACCCAGGGGTGGGAGGAGTCCTGAGGGAGAGGACGGACACTGAGGGCTTTGCTTTTGAGGTGTCCGCCCAGCCAGCTGCTAGGATGAGTGGCAGCTCAGCCCAGGGGCCTGCGGTGGGCAGGGTGCGTTCTTGAGAGAGGGCGGAAGCAGAAATTGCAGGGCACCAGCAGCTCACCTGGGAAAAGCTGGGATGTGAGTGGACCCAGTGGGGTGGCTCCTGGGTCCGGCCTGGCCTGAAGCCTGCTCCTCCTCCTGCCAGCTCTGCCTGCCCAAAGTCCTGCCTCACCCCCGGAGATCGCTGGTGACTGTCACGAGGAAAAAGCAGAGGAGGATGACTGTCCAGCACAGGAACCCCATGAGGTGAGCAGGATCATTGCCCTGTGTGCTCAGGGCACAGACCCCCTGCAGTGGACCTAGGCACAGGCTTTCCTCCACCCCCCTTCCCTCTCCGCATCCCTCCAGCTGTGTGATCAGGACCGTGCTGGGCTTCCCAGTGGCCTGGCCCGGAACGAGGACACAGTCGGCAGGAGGGAAGGGCCCTGAGAGCTAAGCAGGACAGGCCGCAAAGGCAGGGGTGTGGGCCCTGGTCACCACAGGCAAGGCCTCGTCCCTCCCAGGCACACTGCACCGGCTCCTCCCCCGAGACCCAGGGCCTGAGTTCACGGGCACGGGGGTCCTATTGCAGGAGGCTGTCACCTTCCAGGACGTGTCCGTGGGCTTCAGCCGGGAGGAGTGGCGGCTGCTGGGCCCTACACAGAGGACAGAGTACCGGGACGTGATGCTGGAGACGCTGGGGAACCTGGTCTCCGTGGGTAAGTCCACTGGCCATTGCGCCTGCCTTGCCTGTGTTCCGGTGCTGCAGGCGTGCAGAGGATTGTCCCCCACCCGGGCCTGGGACAGGGCTCCAGAGAGTGTGCAGGCCGGCCTCCAGGCTTGGATGAGCCGTCTTCCCTGCTCTTCAGTCAGCTGCCACCTTTCCTTTTTCTCCTGTTGTAATTGTTACTTTAGATATTGAGTCATTTTCAGAAACCAGTGTTGTTCCCACATTCTGCTGACTGGCCCGGCCCCCCAGGTCCTGCCTGTGTGCTCTCAGCATCACCCTTGTTCTCCTTATTCTGCCTGTGCACTGTCTTGAGGTCGGCCAACAGCCCGAGTCTGCTGTCCTCCACTCGCACCTGCCCCTTCTGTTTTCTAAGTGCTTACAATGTTGGTGAACGAGTTGACTGTTTGACCACGAACGTTTTCTATTCCTCACTATCTCCTATCATAAGCAAGCTTGCCATCACCACAGGTAGACTCACTCCCTGGGGGTATGGAGTCAAGAGGCAGACAGCCCTTGTTCTTGTCATGAATAGAAGAGAAGGCACTGTCCTTTATCCCCGGCAGAAACGCCCCAGCGGACTGGGGACACCAGGCTCCTGCCTCAGCGGCCGTCTGTCCTGTGATTCTGCCTGGCCTCTCCCCCTTAGCTCCTTTCTCTGTATGAACAGTACTCACACACAGACCAGGTATCGGACTCCTGACACCCAAGCAGGTCCTCAAATACAGTGAGGACGATATAGTCTTTTTTATTTTAAATGAAACCATACACAACAAAATGTAATACCCATTTGTTTTCCTTGCCTAGTATTGCTATAGCAGAGATACGATGAATGGATGGCTTTAACAAGTACTCTTTTATTCTCTTAATGGATAAGGAGATAAGAAGTCCCATGTGCCCCAGGAAGAAACACGTGTGTGTTTCTGTCCCCATGTGCCCCAGGGCCAGTGTGTGTGCGCCTGCGGCAGGGGTGTGTGTGTGTGTGTGTGTGTGTGTGTGTTTCCATGTGCCCCAGGACGTGTACGTGTGTCTGTGTCTGTCTCCCCATGTGCCCAGGGCCGGGGTGTGTGTCTGTGTCTCCATGTGCCCCAGGGCTGGTGTGTGTTCACGCGCACAGTGCTCTCCCACCCCTGCCGAGCTCCCCATGCTGGACTGCCCCCCACGTCTCTGCCCTCTTTCAGGCTGGGAGACCACCCTGGAAAGCAAGGAGCTGAGACCCATCACAGACCTCTGCCAGGAGGAGCCGGCCCTCAGCCCGCCTGAAGCTGGCCCTTCGAGGCCCAGCCCCACTCCCTCTCCCTCAGGAACCCAGAAGTCAACGCTTACCCAGGAGAGACGAGCTCAGGAAAAGGCCCGCTCTCCAGAGCCGCAGCCGAGAGAGCGCCGCTCGGCCAGGGAGCACCCCAGCACCTGCCCAGACTCACCCCAGGTCTCCCCGAGAAAACGTTCGCGCAGACACAGCTCCCAAGTCAGGAGCCCGAGGTGGGACTTGCGCTCCAAGCCGACTCCGACCAGCGGGGAGCAGGGCCGGACGCGCGGGGAGCAGGGCCCAGCCAGGGACGCGACCAGCGGCCGGCAGATCACCTTCACCCGCATCCACGAGGGCAGCCTGCACTGCCGCTGCAGCGAGTGCGGAAAGACCCTGCGTAACCCCAAGTACTTCTCGGTTCACAAGAAGATCCACATCGGCGAGCGGCCCTTCGTGTGCCCGCACTGCGCCAAGGCCTTCATCCAGAGCTCCTCGCTCACGCAGCACCTGCGCATCCACACGGGCGAGAAGCCCTTCCAGTGTCCCGAGTGTGGCCGCGCCTTCAACGACCGCTCGGCCATCTTCCAGCACCTGCGCACGCACACGGGTGCCAAGCCCTACCGCTGCGCGCACTGCGGCAAGGTTTTCCGCCAGAGCTCGCACCTGGTGCGCCACCAGCGCACGCACACGGGCGAGCGGCCCTACGTGTGCACCAGGTGCGGCCGCGCCTTCAACCAGAGCTCGCACCTGCTGGGCCACCTGCGGACACACAGCCGGGCGCCAAACATAAGGCGGGCGCGGAAGAAGACGACCACTGCGTAGTGGACAAGGAGGGAGGACGGGAAGGGGAAGGAGGAGGAGGCCACACCTTCTACCAGAGCGCGCATCTGCTCAGTCACCAGTAGACACGCAGCTGCCCGAGCAGGAGGACGGAGAGGGGAAGAGCTCCCACCTGCTCAGCCTCCACTGAACATAGCCGGGCAACGAGCAGGAGGAGGGCGCGGAGGAAGACACCCACCACGTAGTGGACATGGAGGGAGGACCGAGAGGGGAAGGAGGCAGTGCCTTTAACCACTGAGCGCACCTGCTGGTCCACCAGCGGACACACAGCTGGGCACCTAGCAGGAGGCGGGTGCGGAGGAAGACGGCCACTGCATAGTGAACATGGAGGGAGGCCGGGGAGGGCCACCGGTGGACACAGCTGGGCGCCGAGCAGGAGGCGGGCGCGGAGGAAGACGACCACTGCGTAGTGGACACAGCAGGAGGACGGAGAGGGCCACCGGTGGACACAGCCAGGCGCCGAGCAGGAGGCGGGTGCAGAGGAAGATGCCCGTTGGGTAGTGGACACAGCAGGAAGACAGGGAGGGGAAGGAGAAGGAGGTCGTGCCTTTAATTAGAGTGCACACCTGTTGGGCCACCTGTGGACACAGCCGGGCACCGGGCAGGAGGAGGGCGCAGAGGAAGACGCCCACCACGAGTGCTGCTGGCCAGCCATCAGTACCTTGGTTGGTTTTTAAGCGATGATAAATGATGACAGTAGTCTGAAAACATTGGTAGTATTGTGAGTTTCAGAGGTAAGCTGTGCACTGAAAGAAATGAGCTGGTTACATGAGAAAGAGAGGGAGGGAGAGAGATTGCAGTGCAGGTTCTTGCCACTGTGCCACTAGAGCTCCCTTCTTCCTTTCTTAGCACCTGGGACGTTTTCTTCTAGTACCTTTTCCACCATTTTCTAACTGACTTCCCTGTCCCTCTCATGTTCTGGAATTCGAGTCATACCTATGTTGTTCCTTTCGATGTCATCCCACATATTTCTAATGTTTTCTTCATGTCTCATCTCTGACTGTTCTTGTAGTACCTCATTACAAGTTATTTGCTAATTAGAATAAATTGTGCAGAAAACAAAGACTGTGGAATTAGGCAAGTCAACTCTGATCAGTCATAGCATCTTCTCCCACAGCACAACCTTCACAGAGGCTGGAGTGAAAACTGGACCGAGTTCTGGGAAGGTGTGCGTGTGGTGGTGTTGCGCTCAGGTGGCTTCCAGTGGCCTCTAACTCAGTGTCCCTATAGCCAAACAATCCTGTGGCAGCCACACTGCTCTCCTCACATTTTCAGCCCGTTGTTGCAGACACCGTTTCTGTCCATCCCTCCCAGAGGATCTTCCTCTCTTCACTGACCCTCTACCAAGTGGGATACCCTTAAAGGTTAGGCCTCTTCTGATGAGTGCTTAGAGTACGGGAGATGAGGTTTCACCTCCTTGCTTCTAAAGTTGCAGATTCAAGACAGATTCGTTTCTTCCTTGGCAGCCTGTATATGTTCAGTATCCATCACCAACACCACAACCCAAAGGTGTCAGTAATTATTCACTTTGTGTTCCAACTTTCACATATTCATGAGGCAGTTAAATGTCCTATGGCTTGGGTACCCTGCTGGTGCAGTAGCTAAGCACTAAACTGCTAGCCAGAAGATCAGCAGTTCGAAGCCACCAGCCTCTCTGCAGCAGAACGATGTGATCTGCTCCCATTAAGATTTACAGCTTTGGAAAACTTATGAGAACAGTCCCGTTCTGCCCTGTGGGGTCTCTAGGACTCAGGAGCTACTCGATGGCAGTGGGGATGGCTTGGGTCAAAAGTGGTATTTTTGTTATTTTAACGCTTGAAGATGATTTTCAGCAGATGTTCTCATTACAAGACATTACTATCTTCCCAGGCATTGATTGTAGAACATATTATAACAATTGTAAAATATGGGTAAAAATAAATCCTTTATAATTTCAGTCTCTCCACTTACCGTGATGTAGCTTATTGGTATAGCCAATAAGGTTTGTGCAAAACCTTAAGAGTCCTTATCACCAAATCTTTCAACAGCAAATCTATTCTGGCTCTATTAACTCTGTAGGACCAAATAGATTTGCTTTGTGTTTCCAAAGGAAGTTCTAGTGACCTAGTATAACAAGAAGCTGCACTGCAGTCTCGAAGGCGTGCAGTTCAAGACTTCTCCAGCACCCCAACTCTAAGGCATCTATTCTTCTTCTGTCATCCTTAGTCATTGTCCAGCTCTCTGATGCATAGCAAGTAACTGTGAAGACCATGGCCTAGATTAGGCACACCTTAAGTCTCTAGACTAACTTTGTTCCAGAATACTGACAGATTTTTCCCAATGCAATTTATCTTTTGATTTCCTGACTGCTGGTGCAAAGAGTGTTGAGTGTGGAGCCAAGCAAGCTGTAACTGTTAACAACCTCAATCTCTTCTCCATCTATCATGGTGCCGCCAGTTAGCCCAGTGGTGAAAATCTTCATCGTCTTGATGTTGAGCTTCAATCCATCCTGAAGACTGCAGTCTTTGACCTGCAGCAAGCACTTCAGGTCCTCCTCACTTTCAACAAGCAAGGTTGTGTCATCTGCATAACATGTTGTTGATGAGTCTTCCTCCAATCCTCATGCCACATTCCTCCTCATAATATCCTGCTTCCTGAATGATCTTTTCTGCATATAGATTCAAAAGGTATGGAGATAGCATGCATCCCTGACCACTCCTTTTCTGATTTTGAACGATGCAGTGTTTCCTTGCTGTGTTCTGAGGACTCCTTCCTGGTCCAGGTACAGGTTTTGCATCAGCATAATCAAGTGTTCCAGGATACCCCTTTTCCTGAAGATTAACCTCAATTTATTGTGATCCACACAGTCAAATGCCTTTGCATAGGCAATGAAACACCAATAGATCTTTTTCTGGTACTCTGGTGGCTTAGTGGTAAGGAATTGTCCTGCCAACACAAAGGCACATGGTTCTAATCCACTAGCTGTTCTGTGGAGTAAAGATAGTCTTATCTCTTCCCCTGTGATTATTGCCTCTGAAAACTTAGTAGAGCTGTAGGTCTGTTCCTAATTGAAGGTACACAACAACAAAGACCCCACCCAACATGCAACCAGGGACATGAATAGTGACAAGAACAATGGACCACAGTAAGAAGCGCCCACCAGATGTTTAACTTCCTTTGATAGCATCCCATGGGAGAAGACTCAGCCCTCAACTCCAGTGTGGAAGCAAGCCAGCTCTGTCTGTGACTCTGGGAGCATAATGTCTCTACTTCTTCCGGGAAGGCACCTGTTCTTCTCTCTGGAATTTCTCTTTCCTAACAAAACTGCCTCTTAGGAGCACCCTGGGCGCACTTCCTTCACGGAGTCTGTTTGTTCTTTTGGCAGCCCAGAGGATAATCAGTACTCTTCACCAACACCACATTCAAAGGCATCGGTAATTCTTTGGCTACCCTTATTCAGTGTCCAGTTTTAACATGCATAGGAAGCAAATGAAAGTACCATGGCTTGGAACAGGAGCACCTAGTTTTTAAAACTGACATCATTGCTCTTTAGAACTTTGGAAAAGTCTGACAGCAGATTTACCCAATGCAACAGGTCTTTTGACTTTTTTCTTTTAAAAAATTTCTCATTCTTTGTGTGTCCCATCAAATCGGATCTGACTTGTACAGGAGGAGATTGCCTCTCTGTTGCGCGCCTTGCCTGTCCAGCAGGAAATAAGGACACAACACACCAGCGATTCCTTCTCACGGTGGTTTACTCAGGAGTTAGTTACAGTTAGGGAGAAAACATGAAGTTCCCCAGACCCTCTCAGGGTGCGGCTTATATCTCTCTCTTGGTACTCTGCCTATCAGTCTCACGTATCATCCCTCCATAGGACCAACAATCCCACGTGAGATCAAGCCATCGACCAATGAGAACACAGTGCCCAAATAAGGTCTTATTTATGATTTTGGCAAACAAAGAGAAGCAGGAAATCAGTGCCATCTTGTAATGGCAACCGAACACGGCCTTCCACACCTCTCCTTCTCCAGCAGAGCATCTGGTGGATTCAAACCGCTTACCGCTGGGATTTCAGTGCAGCTTCCTGCCACTAGCCCACCAGAGCTCCCTGTCTTTTGACTTCTTGACTGCTGCTACCATAGGTGTTGATTGTGGATGCAAGCAAAATGAAATCATTGACAACTTCAGTCTTTTCTCTATCGATCATAAAACTTTACAGTCTCAGAAATCCTATGGAGCCATTGTATTCCTGAATCAAGGACTCAAACCAATTTAGTTTGTTGGGTTATACCTAGAGTTAACGTCATTTAAGAATTGGTTATCTTCATTAGGTTAATAAATCAGTATGCCGTAACGGTTACCCATGGTGGACAGTGTTTGGTGGAGCTCCCAGGTTAAGACAGGTTTGGAAGCAGGAGTGGCATCAACTGCCTTGAATAAACAGTAGATTGTGAACATGGGGAAGCCTGTGGAGCCTTCCATGGGGACTTTTAATTGGTGATGATACAGTATAGTGTGGAAGAAAGCCACATGCATGTAATCCGTGTGGACAATCTTTTAGCTGCTCTTCCGAGCTAGAGAACAAACAGCAGAGAAAAGCCTGTGCACGCCACTGTGTGGAGAATCTGTCTGCGGAGCTATGACCTTGTTGTCTATCAGAGAATTCATACTGGAGAAGCATCCTGTGAGGGTAACCAGTATGGAAAATCTTTGGTCCAGAGTTTTAAACTTGGCAGGGATCACTTACTCAAACTGGGGGAAGATCGTACGTGTCTCGATTACAGAAGTCTTTGAGGTGGAACTCTACCCTTCCTGTACGTGAAGGAGTCCGTGCTGGAGGAAGCCTTGTGTATGCGTGTTCCTCATGGCTGTTCTTCTCAGCTCTAAGGACTCACACTGGAGAGAAACCATAGGAAGTCACCAGCATGGAAGGGCCTTCGTTCAGAGACCTCAACTTCCAAAGCATCTCGGAATCCACAGTGGAGAGAAGTCCTGTACATGT